ACGTACCAGAGGCGGATCAGCAATCACCATGGCGATTGGTGCCCTTCCTTGCGCTAACTTGCAGAAACTTCCTGAAGGCTATAGCAGGCGGTACCGCAGACTCTCTCTCTTTTCCCATGCGATTCGCTTGCGCGTTAAAAGGGGGCACCTGAGCATCGCGACTCAGAAGCTCTTACTGGCTCTCCGGCCTTCACCCCCTGGCCTTGACCACGGCATCACGACCTGGCATACCAGCGGCGGCTGAGCTCGCTCGAGGGCCGGGATCTGAGGACGTAGAGCACCAGGAAGAACATGGAGAAGAGGGGGAGGCCCGCACGGGCCTAACCTAGCTACTCAGCAGCGGCCGACGCCCAAGTTCGGCATCTCGTGAAGGACCAACCCTGGATTGCCAAGATAAGTTTCACTCTCGGGTTAACCAAGCGCTACAGTGTAGAGTTCTCATTTGTGCTGCCCTGCTGCGGCAACGTAATCTCCCTCTCTTACCTCTCGGTGGTCGCTTGCGCGCCAAAGGGGACCTCCTGAGCATCACGTCTCAGGGGCTCTTATTGGACCTCGGGCCGCTCACCTCCTGGCCTTGACCATGGCATCGCGACCTGACATACCAGCAACGGCTAAAGCTTGCCTGGGGACCGGAACCTGTCGGCGTAGAGCACCACGCCATCGCGAGGTTGGAAAGGGGAAACAGAGCCGGAACGGAGCACACACATGCACATCTTCATAATAAGGATGATATCAACAAAGGACATTACAGACGCCTTACACGCCCCAGCGGGGTCCGTTTCAATTCCTCGCACGGAACAAAAGGAAAGAAATCCCTAGGAGCTCTATCTACACGCGCCGGACGACGCCGACGCCATCATCAACAGTGAGCCACGAGAGGCCGGCGCCAACCCCATCCAGATCATCGACGATGGCGGCCAAACGCTACAGCCTTTGCTCCGGGCGCAACGGGGGCTCGAGGCACGTAGCTATCGTCGCTCGTCTCCGGAGACTCCACGAGCTCGGGAGAGTCGCTGGACCACCACGAGTCGCTGCTGCTGCTGGAGGAGCTGCAGGCGAGGCCTACGACAGGCCCAGCGCCCGCCGCTGCGCCGTCCTATTGACCTCCTTCAGGGCAGCACTCCAGGCGGTGGCCTTCCTCGTCGAAGACCTTGAAGAGCAGCACGGAGGCGCAGTCATACTCGAAGTGGATCGCGAGGGCGCCCTCCGTGCGGCAGACTCGGGCAATCTCGCCCCAGCCTCGGGTCATGAAGATCCTCCCGGAGGCAACGGCTTCAATTTCCGCTCCAGTCGTCGGGGCGTCGCAGTCGGCGTGCTGCAGCCAAAGCTCGAGAGGTCCCCTTGGCGGCATCTCTGCAGAGAAGAAGGAAGGGAAGCGAATCCAAGTGCTCGGGGGCATCGCCGTACACAACACGAACTCGCGCGAAGAGTCCATGGCATGGACCCCTGGGGCGACGGCGCTTGCCTTAGCGGCACGGCGGCCTCGGCCCTGGCACGGGCGGCGGCGCTCACCGCTCCTCCCTTCGAAATTATCGGCGTGAGCATACAAGGGCAACGGGTACCCAGGAGGCGGCCTCTCGTACCACAGCCATGAGCCCACCGGCCTCACCACCATCTCGCGACGATGGGACCTCTTCTTCTTCAGCGGGAGCAGCTCGGGCTCGTTGAGGGGAGCCTTGCCCTTCTTCGTGGCCGAGAACCTCCGAATCGCTGCCATGACTGCACCAACAAGGAGTGGAGCAAGAAAGGAGGAGAAGCGGGAGAGGCAGAGGAGATACGGGTGATGGGGCTCCGCCCCCACCTCCCATTTATAGTTAAAGGGAGGCCAACCGTCGGCCTCCACGATCTAATGTAATAATGATGCTTTTCCCTTGCATGCGGCGTCCTTCATTCTGCTTGGAGGAGAACCCACCAAGCGTATAGCATTCCCTCACGCGAGGATTATGCTTCACCAACCTGCTAGTGCTTATTATCGGGCAAGGACACCAGAATTTTTACTTCCAAGGATAAAGGTAGATGAACAACCATTTGATCTCCATCAAAGTCCGCATTGAAACCCTTACACACTAATGGGTGTAAAGAAATAGTACACCCCTCTACTAAAGTGGGTTGAAAGGCCTATATGCCTAGTCTATGCAGGGTAGGTGCTCTATTTAACAGTACATCCATAAATCGACTTTCCCTCCTATGCTCTGAGTTCCAGTATCGATAAGAATTCGAGTTCTTGTTGTTATTATGTTATGGTATGAATATACCATACCAATTCGTTATGTATGGATGATGGATGAGATTCCATGGATAGAGAGCCAGTTCCAATAGACTTATGGAATGTTACCGTTCGTGTGCATCCAGCAACCTGTTCTAATAGGGAAGTCCTATATCTTAAAATTAATTCATCAAGTTGATGAGAAAATTCATGGGCGTTCTACTGGGCCCTACTCACTTGTTACACAAAAACCAGTTAGAGGAAGAGCCAAGCAAGGGGGACAATGAGTAGGAGAAATGGAAGTTTGGGCTTTAGAAGGATTTGGTGTTGCGTGACTCAATTGGTCTTAGTTAGTCTTCGGGACGGAGTGGAAGAAGGGCGGAGACTCTCGAACGAGGAAAAGGATCCCTTCGAAAGAATTGACCGAGGAGCCGACTACAACTGAATAGTATACAAAGTCAACACCAATGATTAAATAGAATTTATGGCTACACAAACCATTGAAGATAGTTCTAAACCTAGGCCAAAACGAACTGGTGCAGGTAGTTTACTGAAACCCTTGAATTCGGAATATGGGAAAGTCGCCCCGGGTTGGGGGACTACTACAAAAGGATTCATTTTTTTCGTGTCACAGCTGATTACTTCTTTTTTCCTTTTTAAAGAGTGGCATCCTATGTCCAATATCTCGATCGAAGTACGGAGGTCAGAATAAATAGAATAATGATCAATGGAAAAAAGAAAAAAAATCCTTTAGCTGGATAAGGGGCGGATGTAGCCAAGTGGATCAAGGTAGTGGATTGTGAATCCACCACGGGGGCCCGCACAAGCGGTGGAGCATGTGGTTTAATTCGATGCAAAGCGAAGAACCTTACCAGGGCTTGGCATGCCGCGAATCCTCTTGAAAGAGAGGGGTGCCCTCGGGAATGCGGACACAGGTGGTGCATGGCTATCGTCCGGAAAGAGGAGGACTTAATGATTATTCGTTCGTCGGAACTAGAAGTAAAAATTGTTGTGGATAGGGATCCTGTAAAAACATCTTTTGAGAAATGGGTCAGACCCAGCCATTTCTCAAGAACACTAGCTAAGGGCCCTGATACTACCACTTGGATCTGGAACCTACATGCTGATGCTCACGATTTCGATAGTCATACTGGTGATTTGGAGGAGATTTCTTGAAAAGTCTTTAGTGCTCATTTCGGCAGCAGGGACTCGTCAAGTCGGGTAGTTGTCGAGGTTGCGTGGGGAAGCGGAGACGCCCACATCCAATCAACCGCCACATGTCGAGCAAGGCCACAGGCTATTGGGGCCCGCGGCGCTTCGCACTTGCCCCTTTGGCTTCGACTCGAAGCCAAGCCCGAGCGCGCCTTGGGCCCGGGGGATAATATCGGCGTTCTGGGAACGGGGGTCCCCAGACTTGCCTGCCTGTGTCCCACGGCGTGGCTTTGCCAGCGGGCCCGTACGGCCCATCTTCACCAACAAGCATTCAAGACCCTCGCGAGGGGTCAAGCCTCGCGAGGCGGACGACACAAGACCTCCTCAGGAGCGGCCTCACCAAGCTGGTTCGCGAGGGGCGGAGAGATCAAGGCCAGACAAACCTCGCGAGGTTCCAATGACGTGCGCCATGACGATCGAGGTCAGGCGGGTGCCAGGCGCGCGCCATCGCTCATAGTGTCCTTGTTTCCTTTTTGGTGCTAAGGAAGCACGCGTAGACGAAGAGTACCGAGGCGTCGGTGCAACGAGACCAAGACGAGCAGGACGGCATGGCGGAGGTCACCGTGGAGCCCAAGACGGTGTCACCACGAGAGCCTTTTGCAGGCGAAGACTGCTTTTGTCAGGATAACTTGTACTAGTTATCCCCTTTTAAATTGGCCGTTGTTGGCTCACTTTCCGCTCAATATTTAGGGAGAGGATCAGGGCCTCAATAAATAGGATTAGCCACCACCATAGAGGGGCAGTGATTGGAGACCTAGATCCAATCCATTCACACACTCACTTAGCACAAGAACACCTCACCTCAGGAGGCTGTTCCTCCCCTTGTACTGTTCATTATCAGCCCCCCAGAGGCAATTCACCACACCATATTGGAGTAGGGTATTACATCGCAACGGTGGCCTGAACCAGTATAAATCTTGTGTCTCTTGTGTTGTGAATTTGTCGAGCTAGCCTTTGAGATCGCGAAGTGCTTGAGGGCGTGATCAGTGAGGGAGAGATCTTCGCACACACCCTAGTGTTCGAAGCTTAAAAGTTTTGTCGGAACCCGAAATCCGACACCCTATCCCTATGAGCACCTCCGAAAGACTGAGCCGGCATATCATTTTGAAATTTACGAAGTCACCGTAGGCACCTTGTCGTCGACGGGAACGTCTTCTCCCACTGAATGAGAATCGTCGAAAATTCTAAAATAAATTTAAGAATAAATGCGAGCACCAAGATTTAAACTCTCATGGATTAGGGATAACACAGTCTCTCTAATAACCATCCAACCACAGTTTGATTTGCTCGTAGTGTATTTGCTGCCGTCTCTCGCGGTGATCCAGGTGCGTGCATGAGTCTACTCGATCACACGTCACGTGTAACGGAAAAGCGCACCCCCACCCCGCGCGTCCACGCGCCGTTCCTATCCACTCTTCATCCTTTTCCCCTGACCCGTTAATCCGTTATAAATCTCCGCCATCTCCAACTCTCCATCTCGCAAGCTCAAGCATTCAAAGCTTACAATCCCCATCATCTCTCACCAAACCGATAGCAAAGCAACCCCATACATAGAAGCTTACAAGCGAAGCAAGCGACCGAGCTAATGGACATGGCACCGCCTGCATCCGCCGTCTCCTTCTCCCCCCGCCCATCGACGGGAACGACTTTCCGGCCCCGCGCCGCTTCCGCCTCTGGCTCCGTGGGCGCCGGGCGGGTCCGCGCGGCGGTAGCCCCCGAGGGAGGCAAGTGGTGGGCGCCACTGCTCGGCTGGTCTGGGCGGGCGGACTACATCGAGGCCGCGGCACCGGCGCCGGCGATGGCGATGGCGGCGGAGGAGGAGGAGAAGGCGGGGAGGTCGTTCGTGGGCGGCCTGACGGAGGAGAAGGCGCGGCAGCTGCGGGCGCGGATGGTGGAGACGGAGAGCTTCCACGATGCCATGTACCACTCCGCCATCGCCTCCCGCCTCGCGCGCTCCACCTAGCTAGGCCGCCGGACAGACCGCCAGCCAACCCGCCGACACTAGCAGACAAGTTGATGTGCCTGTGTGTCCTTTCTGCTATAATTGTTGTTGTCATGTGTTAAAGTTTAGAGGAGAGAGGTCGGAAATGAGATCTAGTTTTAGGGTTGATCCATTCCCTCCGTCTCCGGCCACCGCGACGCTCGCCGGCCTGCTTGTTTTACCGGCGCAGATGTTTCAATCTGATTCCCCGCATTTGTAGTAACATTAGGGATCTGCAGTTAACATGCTGTCCCAGATCTGTGATACTTGTGCTGGTGGCTCTTTTGGTTCTGAACACCGATTAATTCTGGATCTGAACTCTACGGTGCCGCGCTCCATGTTGTCTTCTCCTCAACAAACTATAGCAAGGCTTCTGTGTCATTTGTCATAGCATTATGATGCAGCTATAAATCAAATCAAAAACATTGCAGCTGCTACGCAGGATCTTTACCAACCTGCATACACAAGCTGATTGCGTTCGGTTGGGTTGGGGTGGGCCATGTGAAAGGAACTCCTCGCTTGCGTTACATTATATTATATATAGTACTACGAACTGATGAACCATTACCACCCACCATGATACGCAACTATCTCCGGATCTTCTACTTAATTGCACAAAGTACTCTGCCTCGAGTCAGTCGGCCAGTTGTTTGCCCGGTAGTAAAACGTGTAGTAGTGTCAAGTGCCCGGCAGGCCGGCAGCTTTACCTTAAATCTAAAGCAAGTGTGCTTTTTTGCCGTATTATACTATTCGCAAATGGCATTGGCTCATCCCGTGGGCTGCGGCATATCAATCGTGAGGACGACCGGCCACGCATGATGACACTTGCTAAACCGTGTGATGTTAACCGGTGTGCGCCGGTGTTTTACATTATTCTGTCTCGCGAAGCATCCTAGTAGAAGGCTCGGCTGAAGAACTTAGGAAATGACTACAGTTTTGGAACTGCAATGTTACGATCGAATCGTAGGTCGATTGGAGATCGGGCGGAGGGTTCGACTAACAGAGTAAAGCTCAATGCAACTGTTTTATTAAGCGCAACTGTAACTTGTGACTTCTGGGTCGTCCACCCTCCTTCACCACTTTCAATCTGAGCCGTTGGCTAACTGATGAAGTGTAGACTGTAGAGTGGTAACTGACAGTAGCGCGGGTTCAGTTATGGCCCTGACAGGCATACTGCTATCTTTTGAGCAGCAAAATTAAGTGCTCAACTATCTCCTGGCAGCATCCATCCAGACCCAAATCATGCTTTAACTATGTAATCTTCACACACACAATCTTCATGCGCATCAATAGTTCAGTCAGTACTCGCCTTCTGGAAAGAAAGAACCCTACGAAAGCAAGAGGAAATAACCACGCACCTCCCATATCATTCTCTGTATGATTTTCTCATGAACCCGTACAAGGCTAATGCCAAGGGAGTCTCTCATAGCAGGATAAAATCTACGATAAGAAAATGTGTTAACTAGAGCGCTTGGAGACGGCTGCCTAGCTGGTGGAAAGCGACATTTTGTGAAATACAAACTGGCCATATCTAGTAGGAACGAGGAAGTGACAAGGACGGATATTTTACTCTTACATAAACTGTTTTCCGTACTAGTATTTTCTCGCTGTATATAAGAACTTTTTTCTTCTTCGAAGCGACCCCTTGTATGGCCCTTGGAAATTTCCAAAGGCAAAGGTGAAGGCTGGAGCTTCGGAAATGCTGTACCGACGACAAAAGTGTAGACGATGTGAAGACGATTAAAAATCGGGCAGCCGTTAGCTCTCCTGTACACATGCATGCGCGGCTGGATTTCACCGTCGTGCATGAATCGTCTGTCTTTGTCGTCCGTATAGCATTGCTGCTGGAGCTTTGGGGCAGGCAATGCAAGTCCCCGCTTGCTAGTTGCCACTTGCCAAAGGCCAGGTATAAGAAAGTTGCAAATACGTGGGCTCGGCAGGAATGAGCACGCTTGAGAAACATGCGAGTGACCTAGGTAGGAGCAAGAGTGTTTCCGGCCACGCATTCGCGTCTGACGTGTCGTTGCTTGTATGTGCATGTAGATCAGGAGGAGTACAACTGCAAAAGGAAACATGATTGGTTTGCTCTTATTTTTCTTAAGCGCCGAACTTAGCTGTTTAAGAGCATCTCCAACAGCCGCGCTAAACTAGTGCCGCGCCGTAAATTGGGCGTTTTAGCGCGCGCGCAACGCGGCGGGTCGCTCCAGCGGGCGCGCAAAAACGGCGCGCGCGCTATAACTGATTGGGCACGCGGTCGAAAACACTTAGCCGCGCGGTGTATTTCGGGCGCCTGCTGCAGCGCGCGGCACACTCCAACGCTCGCGCCCGCACTTCCTCTCCCACTTCCACCCCCCGTCTGGCCGCGCCGCCGCCGCCGCCGCCCGCGCCCCCCGGCGACCGTTCAGGCTTCCCCGGCCTATCCCCGTGCGCCCGCGCTTCCGCCCCATCCCCTCCTAGTCCCGCCGGCGCTCGCGCGCCTCCGTCGTCCGAGGAACAGCGCCCGAGCGCTCGCTGCCGCGCCGCGCCCGCAAGGTGTTTGACAAAACGCCTACAAGGTATGTATTGCTAAAACTTCATGAATTTAATGCATGTTTTGAATTGTAGTTTTTATAGTATAGTATTGAACATTGTAGATGAGTTCGTTGTATGATTCTTCCGAAGAAGAATTTGATATGGAAGAGGAGGAGGATCTTGCAATGATCCTAGCTATGCATATAAAAAACGAAGCACGATGGTTCGGTTATGGGTCGGCAGAAAATTTGGAGGGATAGGATCGATGCCCATAACAGATTGATCAGGCATTATTTTGCGGAGAATCCCATATACCCCGAGTCGTATTTTCGTCGCTGGTTTAGGATGAGCACCGAGTTGTTCAGGCGCACTGCAGAGAAACTAGCGAGCCATGACCGTTTTTTTCAGCAAAGGAGGAATGCCGCCGGAGAGCTCGGGCATAGCACCTTTCAGAAGGTGACGGCCGCTTTGCGTATGTTGGCATACGGTATACCGGCTGATCTTGTTGATGATCACTTGGCTATGGGTGAGAGCCAAGCCATCATGTGTGTCAAGCGCTTTGCAGTGGGAATTGTGTAAGTGTTTGGCGAGGAGTATTTGAGATCTCCCAATGCTGAAGACGTCGCAAGGCCATTGGCGATGAACAAAGCTCGCGGTTTTCCTGACATGCTTGGCTCAATAGATTGCATGCATTGAAGTTGGAAGAATTGTCCAAAGGCATGGCATGGGCAATTCCACGACCAAAAAAGGGGTTCCACTATAATCCTTGAAGCGGTGGCCGATCAGGAGACTTGGATTTGGCATGCATTCTTTGGAATGCCTGGATCTTTGAATGACATCAATGTTGTCAACCGGTCACCACTGATGAATAAGATTGCAAATGGTGAGTTGTCACCGGTGCAGTTTGTAGCAAATGGTCGTACGTACAACTATGGCTATTATCTAGCGGATGACATCTATCCAAAGTGGCAAACCTTCGTGAAGCCGTTGAAAAAGCCGGAAGGTAAGAAAAATCTTGACTTCCACAATGCTCATGCGGCGGCTAGAAAAAATGTGGAGAGAGCATTTGGGATTTTGCAAGCCCAATTTGCTATTGTGAGAGGACCGGCTAGATTTTGGGATCAAAAAATGCTTTGGTACATCATGCACGCTTGTGTGATCATGCACAACATGATCATCAAGAATGAGCGTGGCCAAGAATTAGACTACTCACGGTATGAGCTCTTGGGATATCCCGTGCGAGTGCGACGGAGGGCTGAAAGGGTAGCCCGTTTTATTGCCTCCTATCATGCCATTCGGCGTCCCGCAACGCACAATGAACTTCAGAATGATTTGATTGAAGAGTGGTGGGCATGGCATGGACAACAAAGAGCATGATGATATCTGCATTCGACATTGTATTGTTCATGAACTATTTGTTGTGTTTATTGCATTTGTTGTACTGAACGATAAACTATTTGTTTGAGTTGTAATGATAACGAAATTGAATTATTTATTATTGATTTATTTTGTTTGTTTGATCATTTTTGCTCATAATATGTATATGTGATTTGTGCGGCGCGCGCGCTGTATTTTTGCGCTCTGCTGAAACGGCGCGCGCGCGCTGCATTATAACGCGGCTGCTGGAACCAGCGCAGGCGGGCGCGCTAAACCAGCCAAAGCGCGCGCGGCAAATAGATTTTTTACGCGCGGCGCTTAGCGCGGCTGTTGGAGATGCTCTAAGCTTCAGCCCTTTTGCAAACTCAGTACGATGAGAAGTGGTTAGCATTTTGGCCATATACCTCGGGAAAACCTCGGTAGCAATATGAACTTGAGGCTGAAGTTAAACTTCTCAACACAACCTTTTATGCACTCTCGGTCCGTTCTATGCTTCTTATCTCTCTGGGTTCTCGAAGTGGCTCTAAAAATGGCGGAGTCTCTTGTCCTTTAGTCGACACTAGCGGTATTGTTTCTATTGTTGTTCTTCTACCCCTTCTTGTCCTTGAGCCTGACACAAACTTGCTGCTCGGATACTGATATTGCAATACAAATACAAATAAGATATACATGAAAAATCTTGATAAATATGTCGATGGCCTACCGACCAACAAAAAGTAGTGTTGAGTTAAACTTTCACGCCATAGGAATGGAGAGTCGTGTGAATATCCAGCCTATAGTAGATCCTAGAACAATGTTAGAGGAGCACATGCAAAGGACCCACAAAACACACCCGTAAACTAGACAAACATATCCAAAATTACCAAAAGGGCCTTCCAACTTAGTCTTGGCCATGGGCAATCCGACCGGCCCGGCTCGACGCTGCTTTTGGGCCGGGCTCGGGCCTACGTTTTGAACCCGAAGACTAGGTCGTGCTGGGCCTAGGCCCGTTGTTTCTGCCATTTACTGAAGAGGCCCGGCCGAGGCCCAATGCCCGGTGGTTTTTTGCAGTGACGGGCCAAGCTTGGGCCTGAAAAGTAGGCCCGACGACCGGACGGGGCCAGGCTCAGGCCTGAGTTTTTTACCTCGGGCGTGGTCAAGCCCGGCCCAGTGGATGGCCAGGTCTATCCCAACTAGATAGAGAAGGCTCCTATACAAAGTTAAGGTGGCAGTAGCATCATGAATGAGACAAGGAAAAAACATCAAGAGACAAAATAAAGAAGCATGTACATTTTTCAAACCAACATGCTCAATTCTCCTAGGAGAGGGTTCAAAACATAATTCCCAGAAAAAGAAGAAGAAAGGTAATACTACAAGGAACCCCTATAAACATCAACATTAGAGTGACAAGTGTTAAATTTATTATGTATGTGTATATTGTGTCTTAGGCTCACCTTTTAGTTCATCTGTATTTCATTTCAGCAGCAGGTACCTCTCGTCGCCCCGTTGCCACCGGCCACCGACGACCCTTCGGCGACCCCGTCAGGTGGACGGCCCCGCTCGGCTCTTGGACTGCCTCCGTGTTTGGCGGTCCTCGCGCCGTGGGACGAGTTGCGCCTCCCGCCCCCACGCCGTCGTTGCCGTCCTCGCCGGCTTCGCCGCCGGCGCCCTCTCCGGCTGCCTCGGGCAGCCCCATTGCCTCGGGCTCCTCGCCCGCCTCGGGCGTCATGTGTGCCTCGGGCGTCGCACTCTCCACGGCTGCCTCAGGTGCCTCGGCCGCTGCCCCTTCACTGGCCGCATCGCCAGTCGCCTCACCCGCGGTCTCGCCAGCCGCCTCCTCGGGCCTCGTTCCGGAGTTGCCGTCTCGCCCCATCACTCGGGCTCAAGCCAACGTTCACCGCCTGAGTCTGCGGTACTCCAGCGACAAGTATCTCCTCGTCGCCTTCACCACCGAGCCGTCACCGATTCCTGTGTCTGCCAGAGCAGCCCTTCGTGATCCTCACTGGCTTGCTGTGATACAGTAAGAGTTCGACGCTCTTTAGCGGAACCGTACCTGGACACTGGTTCATCGGCCTTTTCGCGACAATGTCATCAGCGGCAGGTGGGTCTTTCGCCATAAGACCCGCTCGGATGGTACACTTGAGCGCTACAAGGCTCGCTGGGTGGTCCGTGGTTTTCGGTAGCGTGTTGGCGTCGACTTCACTAAGACGTTTGCACCGGTTGTCAAATCGGGCACGATCCGCACTATTCTCCAGCTGACGGTTTCCCGAGGCTGGCCGGTTCATCAGATGGATATCTCCAACGCCTTCCTTCATGGCCATCTTGAGTAGCAGGTTTACTGTGAGCAGCCCACCGGTTTCGTCGACGCATCTCTTCCTGGGCATGTGTGTTTGTTGTCCCGGTCTCTCTACGGGCTCAAGCAAGCACCTCGTGCCTGATACCAGCGTATCGCCCGGTTCCTTCAAACACTGGGCTTCAGCGTTACTAGTTCGGATGCCTCACTGTTTGTCTATCACCGCGGCGACACAACTGCATATTTGCTCCTCTATGTCGACGACATCATCCTGAGGGCCTTCTCTGTAGCCCTTCTTCAGCAGATTACTCTCCGGATGCGTGACGAGTTTGCCATCAAGGACTTGGACGCTCTACATTATTTTCTTGGCATTGAGATTGTTCGGCGACCCGACGGCTTCTTCCTTCATTAGAAGAAGTATGCGCATGAGCTACTTGAGCGTGCCGACATGCTCAATTGTCACCATGTCGCTACTCCTATTGACACGAAGGCCAAGGTTTCTGCTCTCGAGGGCTCGCCCGCGTCGGATGCACCGTTCTGCCGATCCATTGTTGGTGCTCTTCAGTATCTGACTCTCACTCGGTCGGATCTACAGTATGCTGTTTAGCAGGTGTCTCTCCATATGCACGCCCCTCGTGACTCCCATTGGACCCTCGTGAAGCGGATTCTCCGCTACATCCGTGGCACGATGGCTCTTGGGCTCACTCTCACGGTGTACACTTTTCTGGAGATGGTGGCCTATTCCGACGCGGACTGGGCCAGCTTCCCCGACACCCGTCGCTCCACCTCTGACTACTGCGTTTACCTAGGTCCTTCACTCGTCTCATGGGCGTCCAAGCGACAACCCACCGTTTCACGCTCTAGCGCGGAGGCTGAGTACCGAGCAGTGGCTAACGTTGTCAACGAGTGCACCTGACTATGACAGCTACTTCAGGAGTTGCATCATGATGTCTCCCAGGCTACGATTGTCTACTGTGACAACGTCTCTGCGGTGTACCTTTCCGCCAACCCCGTTCATCACCGCCGGACTAAGCACATTGAGCTGGACATTCACTTTACGCGTGAGCAGGTGGCCCTTGGACGTATTCGGGTCCTCCATGTTCCGACTGCACAACAGTTCGCTGATGTGATGACTAAGGGACTGCCGACTTCCATCTTCGAGGAGTTTCGTTCCAGTCTCTGCGTCTCCAGCGCCGCTTCGACTGCGGGAGGGGGGGTGTTGAATATATTGTGTCTTGAGCCCACCTCCTAGTTCATATGTATAGTTGAGGTTGTGGCCCCCTCCATACATCATATATACATGCCTGATGCACCGATCAAAGCAATTGTGTTGCACAGCATTCCAGTCTTCCACAACAAGAGTTGAGGCTAGGAGCAATGAGCTGAAGCAAAAGTAGCAACACATAAAATAATCTATGTAACATGTGAATACTAACATTTCTCATTGCCTCGGAGACGAGAAAGTACTTGCAACAAGAGGGAAAAAAGGCTCGGGTGATTTAAGTTTCTTAAATCAAACCATGTTAAGTTTTTAAGAATAATCAATGGTGTGTCTTAGAAGTTAACCTTTTCAAGCCATCATCACTAGATAAAAATGTTAATTTGTACCCTAAAAAAATGTTAATTTGTGCAATATCATCATAAGCTTTGTCATAGGCTAATATCGAATTACCGATGGCGTATCTTGGCAGGATGTGTAGTTTTGGACGTGATTTCACGAGGTGCTAATTCCTGTCTTATTATCTTCATCAGCCTTGACGTATTCTACCCTAACGAATTTGCGCTCGTGGTGAATTTAGGTGCGTGTGCGAGTCCCGGTCGGAAAAACTCGGTGCGGGCGACGCCCTCGAAGAACGTGATGTTCGTGGCAAATGAAAGCACCACACCCGAACGGCCAGTGGACGCGGTCACACGTCACGCGCACCCTCCTAGCGGATGCCGCCCCCGCCCACACGCGTCCACGCGGCGTCCCTATCCACCCCTCCCCTCTCCCGCCGCGCGCCGGTATAAATCTCCCATCCCTCGCGCCAACAACTCCATCCCATCTCACTCCCTCAGCGCAACACAGACCTCACAAAGCACATCTCTCGTCTCATCTCGTCTCGCCGTGCGTTCAGTGGACTCGAGGCAAAACCCAGCAGAAGCTCACGAGCGAAGCAGCAGGCCGAGCAAATCAATGGCAATGGCACCCTCAGCATCCGTGGTTTCCTTCTCCGCCCGCCCGTCCGCCGCGCTCCGGCCGCGCGCCGCCTCCGTCACGGCGGGAGCTGGTGGGCGGGTCCGCGCTGGGGCGCCCAAGGGAGGCAAGTGGTGGGCGCCACTGGTCGGGTGGTCTGGACGGGCGGACTATATGGAGGCCGCGGCGCCGACGCCGGTGGTCGAAGTGGAGGAGAAGACGTTCGTCGGCCTGACGGAGGAGAAAGCGAGGCAGCTGCGGGCTCGGATGTCGGGGATGGAGAGCTTCCACGACGCCATGTACCACTCCGCCATCGCGTCCCGCCTCGCCCGCTCCACCTAGGAGGACCAGCCACCAACCAACGAACCCGCCGACACCACCACACAAACTGGTGTTCAGTGCGTTTGTACATAGTCATGTTTCTCGCCGTGCTGTAATCATGGAGGAGACGGCGAGACGCTAGATGTGAATACGGGAGGGGTCTGGTTTTAGGATTGGTCCCTCCCCGATCTTCTCTTTTACTCTTTTGTAATTACACACCATGTGCAAATGTTTCCATGTAAACCCCCCTGAAGATCTAAAAAAAACATGTCGCCATCACTATATGTGTTGTGTTGTGAGAGAGCGTTTACAGACTTGGGTTTTCAGATGATGCTAGTCAATTGAGTGTAATTGGATACCGCTATCAGGCTACGGATTTATTCTGGATCTGGAGTACTCTATCAGATCTGCAAAAAAATAAAATGCAATACCCCTGTGATGCTATAGTGATGCCCTTTGGCCCCTAAGTGGTTGTTTGGATAATGGAGATTAGCGATAAGAATACAGAAAATGCGTTTTCAGCTAATTTCTAGGAAAACCAGTTTTATCTACTATTTTGTGAATAACCGGTTTATAGAAAACTATGTTTGGTAAGCTCAGCTGCTGGTTGCAGACGACGGCAACGTCTTTCATCTGGGGACTGGCCGTGAGCGCACGGCAGCAGCCGCTTTCCCTCGACGACTCGTCGCGCGCGGACGACGGCATCGACCGCTTCTTAATGACGACTCCGGCGTACGCGCACGGCGGTGGCTACTTCCCCTCGCCAACACGGCACGCGCACGGCAGTGAACGCTTCCACTTGCCCCGCACGGGCGGCGACATCCGCTTCCATCGACGTACAGGCCGACGGTAGAGAGCTGATGCTCAGGGTCAATTTGCATGCACGCCGGCCATCCAAGCTCCTGATGACTGTAAAATCAGTGCTAATGGATTTGTTGCGAAAGAAGTGGAACTGAAAAAAATCAGTTGCGATGGGTTTCTACGATCGTGTTTTCCCAAAAAACAACTATTAGTAGTTTTTCACAAAACGTAGATTCCTGATTTGTGGAAACCAAATCCTGCTTATCCATGTTTTTGGTGGAAAGCCCAAACATGGTTTTAGTTTGTTAGGCGGTTATGCGAGTCTATGAAAAACTAGTACTGGTAAAACTGTGTATCCAAACAAGGCTACTGATGCTATAATGATTCTGAGAATCAATTTACACTGATACTGCAATGATTCTGATAATCAACCTAGCGTAGTCTACTCTACACCAACTAACCTGAGGTTACCTGAGGTTGAGGCAGGTTGTGCATAGTGATGAAACTTCGTGTGACTAACAAAAATACTTCGTATGAGAGCATCTACACCCATGCGTCTCATAAGTCTGGATAGACCGCCCGGTCATTGTCCGGTCACAAAATTTTGACTCAGATAGGCGCCTCAAACGCCCGGGCTGACCGGCATCCCTCATATCCAACTCAAATAAGGGACGGATATGTGGCGTTCGGGCATGCCCGTCACGTTGGACCTGACCCACGCTGGCCCACCTGACCTGATGTAGGGTGGAAACCCTAGGGACCGATATTTCACGAAAGAAGCGGATCCCGCAATGAACACGAAGAACACGTGGGGAAACACGAGGGAAAATCACAAAGGGGCACAAAGAGAAACACTCAAACCAACAAGATTAAGTCACACATGTGCTAGATCCTCGAAACACGAGAGGAGATACAACATCCAGAGTCAACAAGGGACGATACAAATGGTAACCGGTCAGGAGGTCTTGATGGTCTTCTCCCTGAGGAGGTCTTGAATCCAAGTGGATCTTCTCCGAAGAGGGGCCGCGGTCTCTCTCGTGGAGTAGATCCGGATGGATGAGCGAAGCTCTGTCTCACTAATGAGCTAACACAAAGATAACCCTAAAACGTAGGTAGGAGAAGAGTATATATAGTCTAGGAGGGCGAAAGGGTACATGGGCCTCGGCCCTTTACTGTGCGTAGACAGACACGACCGGATGCCTGGGCGTCCGGCCGGATATCCGGGCCTTCGGGAGGAGCCGGATATCCGGGGCTGGGGCCGGATGTCCGGGCTGACGGGGCGTCTCTTCTGTCCTCTGGATCGGTTGTGTCCGGATATCCGGGCGGGAGGCCAGATTTCCGGATCGGGCCCGGATGTCCGGGCCGGTCGCCGGATGTACGGGCCCTGTAGACTTGGCCGCTGGTCCGTTGCTGCAGGTGACACCTCCAGGGGCCAGATGTCCGGGGTTATGGCCGGATGTCCGGGGCCTGAGAGTTGTTCTTGACTCCTTCCATCGGTTCTCTTCATCCATGAACTTGGCTGGTTGTCCGTCTTCACGTACATCTTCAGGAGGATCCTCTTGGTACCTAATCATGCACAACATCTCGAATTTAGGTAGTAGCCATGTCTCGAGAGGATCGTATGTAATATCACTAAGGAGAGAAGTCACCTCGGTCTCGAGAGTTCTAGCTCTACCTCGAGTCAAAGGTCCTTGATGATGATATAGACCTGGGGTAGGGTCATAGGCCTGACCTATACGTCCTATCCAAGGTCACTGTCATAGAAGTAAAGAAGCTCAAGAGACCACAGGGAGGGCCCAACAAAGGTGTCGAGTGCAATCCACTTGACAGATGAGCTACTCGGAGACCCCTCCTTCCTGAAGTCGCTCGACCAATCGACCACTTGACCATACAAGAATCCACTCGACCTATTGAAGACCAGGAGTCATCTGGAACGGCAACAGACGAACGTTCACTCTATAATCTTTAAGGCCATTAAGGCATTTAAGGCTGGCGTTACCAGTAACGCCTCATCTTTATGTACATTGAACTCTGTGTAACGGAGGGAAGCTGGGGTCCTGGCGCACTCTATATAAGCCACCCCCTCCTCCGGGACAAGGGTTCACACCCCCTGTAACACCCACACCCACACACACACATAATCCAGTCGACCGCCTCCGGGCACCGAGACGTAGGGCTGTTACTTCCTCTGCGAACGGCCTGAACTCGTAAAACTCGTGTGTACAACTTCGCCATAGCTAGGATCTTGCCTCCTCATACCTATCCCCCATTCTACTGTCAGTCTTAGATCCACGACAGTTGGCGCCCACCATAGGGCAGGTATCTTAGCGACTTTTTGGTGGAGTTGCGATTTTTTCCGATTCTCATCATCATGGTTTCCGTCGACGGACTGACTGAGGGCCACGAGATCCGTCTCGGCGTGCTCGTTTTTGTTGCCGACGACTCTGCTTGGCTTCAGGAATCTCCACTCGACGTCGAGGCGCTCCCCGTCCGCGAGACGATGCAATTTCACGCGTGCCTCCGCGGCGTCCTTTTCTGGCAGCCGTCGACCCAGTATCGGTTGGCTCCTATGGTGTCCTCGCCCCCCGCTGTTCGCCGGCGCAAGGGTTTCGGTCGGTCGCGGCTCCAGCGGTGGGTGAGACACGCAGTGGCCCGTCAGTCGGCCACCCCACAAGTCGCGGCAATCGAGCCCGACGAAACTCTCTACGACCTGTTTGACCTGGCTCCATCGGGACCGCATCCGAGTGCGACAGCAGTGATCCCGCGGCGGAAGTCTTGATGGTCAACAGACCACACAGTCCTCCTGGCTTCCCCCGCGACAACGGTGGTGATGGCGGCGGCGATCCGTCGCGCGTTCAAGAGGAATACCGCCCCCTTTCTCCGCAGCAGAGGGAAGAGCTTCGTGAAGGAAATATGCCCTAGAGACAATAATAAAGTTATTATTTATTTACTTATATCATGATAAATGTTTATTATTCATGCTAGAATTGTATTAACCGGAAACATAATACTTGTGTGAATACATAAACAAACAGAGTGTCACTAGTATGTGTTGGAAATATGCCCTAGAGGCAATAATAAAATGATTATTATATTTCCTTGTTCATGATAATTGTCTATCATTCATGCTATAATTGTATTATCCGGAAATCGTAATACATGTGTGAATACATAGACCACAATGTGTCCCTAGTGAGCCTCTAGTTGACTAGCTCATTGATCAACAGATAGTCATGGTTTCCTGACTATGGACATGGGGATGTCATTGATAACGGGATCACATCATTAGGAGAATGATGTGATGGACAAGACCCAATCCTAAGCTTAGCTCAAAGATCGTGTAGTTCGTTTGCTGTAGCTTTTCTGAATGTCAAGTATCATTTCCTTAGACAATGAGATTGTGCAACTCCCGGATACCGTAGGAGTGCTTTGGGTGTACCAAACGTCACAACATAACCGGGTGACTATAAAGGTACATTACAGGTGTTTCCGAAAGTGTCTGTTGGGTTGGCACAAATCGAGACTGGGATTTGTCACTTCGTATGACGGAGAGGTATCTCTGGGCCCACTCGGTAATGCATCATCATAATGAGCTCAATGTGATCAAGTGGTTGATCACGGGATCATGCATTACGGTACGAGTAAAGTGACTTGCTGGTAACGAGACTGAACAAGGTATTGGGATACCGACGATCGAGTCTCGGGCAAGTAACGTACCGATTGACAAAGGGAATTGTATACGGGGTTGCTTGAATCCTCGACATCATGGTTCATCCGATGAGATCATCGAGGAGCATGTGAGGGCCAATATGGGTATCCAGACCCCGCTGTTGGTTATTGGCCGGAGAGCCGTCTCGGTCATGTCTACGTGTCTCCCGAACCCGTAGGGTCTACACACTTAAGGTTCGGTGACGCTAGGGTTGTAGAGATATGAGTATGCAGTAATCCGAAAGTTGTTCGGAGTCCCGGATGAGATCCTGGACGTCACGAGGAGTTCCGGAATGGTTCGGAGGTGAAGAATTATATATAGGAAGTGTAGTTTCGGCCATCGGGAGAGATTCGGGGTCACCGGTATTGTACCAGGACCACCGGATGGGTCCCGGGGGTCCACCGGGTGGGGCCACCCATCCCGGAGGGCCCCATGGGCTGAAGTGGGGAGGGGAACCAGCCCATAGTGGGCTGGTGCGCCCCCCTTGGGCCCCCCTGCGCCTAGGGTTGGA